CTTCCCGGACCGGGGCACGAACCCGTGTCCCCTGCATCGGCAGGCGGACTCTCAACCGCTGCGCCACCAGCGAAGCCCCCTCGTTAAGTTTTTAAGCCATAAGAATTAATATCCAATAATTACATATATCTATCTGTCTGTAAAAAGAAGCTCTAGAAACTGAAACATATTCCATTACAAATAGGTTCTAACTAATATAATTCTTTGGTCAAAAGATATAATTCTGATAATGCAACAATATAGAGTTAACATGTCTTATTTTAGACAAAATATGACTACCTACACACACTGAGATGTACTTTAGCAAAACAGACTATACAAAAACCTGTATTTTTTTCTTCACATATATCAAACCTTACACAAAGATGTTAAGATTTAAAATAGATGTCTCAAACAATTTCCTTCAGATTCAAAAGTTACTTGCAATCAGGCTAAATGTTCATAACTGGCATATACATGTCTAAAAGATATTAAAAATGCATCAACCTTTTCCACTATGATGAGGTCTCCAACTTGTATGTCTGAACTCTGAACTTGCACTTTACCTTAAAAGAAAGAAGAAGCATAATCAACTCAAGGAAGTAACAGCGCATCAGAGTTAAACTTTCAGTTGACCAATAATACTTTAGAAATAACTTTGGGAGAAAAAAATAACACTTTAGAAATTTATCTATACTTACACTTTCAAAATAAATTTATTTCAGATAGACACAGCCACTGAAAATTTACTTCTAGTGAACTCCCCAATACAATGAACTATCCCCCAATAAAAGACGTGCGAGAGTGGGGAAGAGGGTTCCATCTGGAAAGTTCTTCCCACATCTGCCATTATTTCAGGTCTGAGTCAAGTTACAGATGATCAAAAATATCACTAAATAAAATAATTGGATGACTGAAGCTGAGCAGCATGGAGATGTAAAATCCTTACATTAATGTTGTGGAGGCACTGATTGGCACATAACTGACAGAAAAGAGAAACGAAGAAAATTACATGTAAAATCACCCTCCACTAGTAGCTTTACAGACACAGGTCAGGACTGAAAACTAAGGTCTAGAGATTTACACAGAAAGTGATGCTTCCACATGGTATACTGTGTAAATTCTTAAACTGTCTCTCTAGTATCTAGTGCACTGTAATCATTTACAAAATCTAACACACAACATCTACATCATGTTAGTGCCACAGAGAGAAGGGGAGAAGCTGGCGTGGACAATGGGAGACACCGTCCTGAAGCAGCAACAAGACTTGGTTCAGCTCTCGCTCCCTGTGTCTCCTCCCGCCCTGCCTCCCTTCGCCCCTCTGTTTCTCTCCCTCCTTCCCTCTCTCCCCACCTCCCTACCTTGGTCTCCCTCCCTCTGCCCATCTCCCTTTTGAACCCAGCAACAGCCTTATGGATCTGCCTTTACATTTTTGTAACTACTGTTTTGACATGGGAAAAGGTCCACTTCTTTTACATTCAGTTTATTCTGAAAGCTAACAGAACAAGAGCTAAGTTCATACTACATGATCAAACACTAACATTACCAGTCATTACACTGACTTTTAGACCAACTCAACTTATTATAAAGCCTTATTTCCTAAATACCTCTTAAAGCAGCTGAGTTTCAATAGAACCATACCAGTTCCTAACAATTTGTTTTGAGGATATCAAAAAGTTTTGTAAATATTATATTTTTGCTGTTATATTTTTCCATGTTCCTCAATTATACAATAAATACATAAGGGCTGGAGTAACTTTTCAGGGGGGAGATGAAGCTACTTTTTATTCATATTATAAAATAGCAAAGTTCTTTAGAATTGCATGTGAAGCAAATCCTACGATATTTTCTTGTGATAAGTGTACATCAATTAGTAGCCAAAAAACATACTTGCAAAAGAATGTCTACTTTAAATCTTTTTTTTCAGTTGGTCACTTCAAGCTTCAGGTCTGTACTCCCACTATTATGTTTTTTATAGCTAAGCATCAGGCAGTAAAGACATGTTGCTTATCTCATACTCCCTGAGCCTGAACTCGGCAGAATTCCTGTCTTATCATTTAATTTTATTTTCTCTCCTACTCTCCAATCCACTTTTCCTTCCTTCTGCTTTTTTACATTTTAATAGACACATTTTAAAAAGAGAGAAAAAGAAATGGTTGCAGTCATAAGATACAGTAAATGTAAATAATTTTAAACTATTTTGAAACAAAAACGCATCCTTTTTTGACTCCTTAATCAAGACCTTACATTTCTGAGAGATTTATTATTCTCTCACATGGTAATAGACACAATTTATATTTAATAGACTTTAATTTTTTTTTTTTTTTTTTTTTTTTTTTGCGGTACGCGGGCCTCTCACTGCTGTGGCCTCTCCCATTGCGGAGCACAGGCTCCGAACGCGCAGGCCCAGTGGCCACGGCGCACGGGCCCAGCCGCTCCGCGGCATGCAGGATCCTCCCGGACCGGGGCATGAACCCGTGTCCCCCTCGTCGGCAGGCGGACTCCCAACCACTGTGCCACCAGGGAAGCCCCAATAGCCTTTAATTTTTAAGGCATTAATTGTGATCACTATTCACTTCTATGGAACTTACTAGCAATTACATGTTTAAGTAAAACAGTTTATGGTAAAATGCACTGTTGAAAGTTCTCAACTCTTACACAATATTACAACATGAACAAAATACGAGAAGGCTAAACACAGCACAGTGTCAAATCAGTATGATAATCTGCCTCACTTATCTGTTCAAAGTACACATGTCTAAATTTTGAAGAACTGGTCAAATTGTTCAACAGTTCTGAATTCTCCAATAATTCTGATCTTGTGTTCAGGGGACTGCCTGCACTTCCTTTACAGTCTTTGTCACATGAACTCATGGACTTCTTCTCTGTTCTCTTTCCCAAAGAACAGCGAAGGCATCGGACAGAAAAGATGGAGGAAAGCCACCCACTCCCCATGCACCTGTCCAGCAATGACAGCCCAGCATCATGACCTTCCGCAGCCTAATCTGCAGAGTCCACGCCTCCACTAATGGTTTGATTTCTGGCCACCCCTTGTGAGCTGAACTGACAGCTGATCCTAGCTAGCAACATACTAATATCAGAGTTGGAACAGACTGGTAACAAGAGATATTCCTTAAGTTTTACAAGTCACAGCACATAGAAGACACACAACGGCCACCTGCTCTCACAAACCAATGGAACCATCAACAACACAAAGTGTTTACTGAATGGGCATTTAAAATTTAGTAACTTCAGCGCTACACTTGATAGAAGCAAGTTCTAAATATAGTAACAAAGATACTTCAATGTGTACACCAGTATTTAAACCTAGTGACAGTATTCCTTAAAAATATCCTACTCCATTTACTGTCAAGTACGTACTCAGGAAGTCGTACCTTACCAGCCTTTCTCTTTTGATGAAACAGTGAATAGTGACTATTACCAAGTAAGGTAACAGCAGTCCTTTCCTCTCTCTAAACTACTGCAGGTAAATCCTTCCATTAAATCCCTCTTCTAGCAATAAGCGTTCCCTGCCACTATGCCTCAAACGTATGGTGGCTTATGTGCGCCTTCTCACGGGAGCCAAACATTTAGCTCACTTGCCCCATGAACCAAGTTTTATTGGCTCCTCCGAAGACAGATCAAGACTCACTCCAAGAGCCACTCTTCTTCCTGCAGAGTGTCTAACCACACGCCCTGTCTACCACTCTCATTGCCACGCGTCAGCATCACCTGTAGAAACAAGACACAACTAAACGGTCGCCACTGATATTATTTTCCGAATTCACCATAATTCCAAACAAACTAGTTGAAAAATTAAGAATTATGTTCATCCTCACCCCAAACCCTCCATTACTGGACAATTACTTAGAAGATAATCAAATTTGCAGCATGTATACACATTCTTCACAGCTGATCTCAAATTAACTTTCTGGCTTTACCTACTGTCTGCTTCCCTTTGCTCCTGCTCTATCTTAGTCTGGCACCTTATCCGACAACCGTGTGAGGCCCTTGCTTATTCTTACAGGTTCTCTGCACTTGCTGCTCCTTTGGACTGAAATCCCTCCCTCCCCAGACCTCCTTAACTGCACAGCAAATAAAACCCCATGAAGCCTTCTGTAACCTGTATAAGCATCAGCAGGATTTTATACACACTGCTACACAATGTGCTTAAAATGTTATAATGCTATAAATATTCAAACACCTGAGTGTCTACCAAATTTCAGATCCTGTGCACTTTTAGGACATTTAGTTTGTTCTTCGCAAATGCATATCCAAACTTAACCCATTTTAAAAGAAAAGAAGGAGTTGATAACCATTCTACTCCTAATCAGTTAAAATGGGCCAAATGCTGGAATGGATTAAAGAGAGCATAACCATAAAAACCACATCTAACTAGACACAGACATCACCAAATAAGGATGAAAAGGTATTAATTACTTACTTCCCAACAAAACACACACAAGGAGATAAGAGTAACAGATAATTAAGCAACTTTTTAGAAAAGCACTTGATCGCATATAAGGAGCCCTCGAGAAGGTCACTTCGGATTAACAGGTATTGCTTCCTGGGCAGACCACCACCCGTGAAATCAGCAGGTTATTGGGCTTGTCTTCATTATTTGGGTGGGAATGGCATTCTCCCCCAACTCTCTCACCATTTTAAATGGGTGTGGAGGTAGGAGCCTAACTTAAAACAGATTATGAAGCGAAGTGGGTAGTTGGGAAATAAGTTTTATACTATACTATATTATATTATATCACATCATATTATACTAAGAGAGAGGCCTATACTCTGAAAAAAACCCAAACTATTGCTGAGAGAAATTTTAAAACACCTAAATAAAGGAAGAGATATACCTCATTCATGGATCAGAAGACTTAATGCTATTAAAAAGTCAATTCTCCCCCAAATTTATCTATAGATTCAATGCAATCCCAATCAAAATCCCAGCAGGCTTTTTTTTTCTTTTTTTGCAGTACGCGGGCCTCTCACTGTTGTGGCCTCTCCCGTTGCGGAGCACAGGCTCCGGATGCGCAAGCTCAGTGGCCATGGCTCAAGGGCCCAGCCGCTCTGCGGCATGTGGGATCTTCCCGGACCGGGGCACGAGCCCACGTCCCCTGCATTGGCAGGCGGACCCTCAACCACTGAGCCACCAGGGAAGCCCTCAGCAGGCTTTTTTGAAACAAACTGATTCTAAAAGTCACATGGAGGGACTCCCCTGGTGGCGCAGTGGCTAAGTGTCTGCCTGCCCTGCCGGTGCAGGGGACACAGGTACGAGCCCTGGTCCTGGAAGACCCTGCATGCCACGGAGCAACTAAGCCCGTGAGCCACGACTACTGAGCCTGAGCTCTGGGGCCCGCGAGCCACAGCTACTGAGCCCACGTGCCACAACTACTGAAGCCCGCACGCCTAGAGCCCATGCTCCGCAACAGGAGAGGCCACCGCAATGGAAAGCCTGCGCACCGCAGCGAGTAGTCCCCGCTCACTGCAACTAGAGAAAGTCCACATGTGGCAACAAAGAACCAACACAGCCAAAAGTAATAAATAAATAAAGAAATTTATA